AAGGCGCTTCCCAGGGAGGATGCGCCACCACAGGCAGCAACGGAGGCAGCAGCCGCGGCCCCCGTCGGCGGCGGCGGCGACGCGGGGAGCGAGCGCAGCGCGCGGCGCTGGCCGAGGCGGCCGCCTGGGTTGAAGGGCCAGCGGGCCGAGGTGGTCGCAGAGGGGGGTCCCGCATCGGCCTGGCGGCATGACCGCGAAGCTCTGGCTCCTCGTGGTGTGGAGCCGGGAACGCCCGCCGCAGGTGGGCGGACACGGAGATCGACGACGATGGGGAGGTGATGGCAGCGACGGTCCCCGGTGTTGCCGTGGTGGCGACGCCTCCCCGCCAGGCGTTGCCGTGCTCCCCGCAGGACGGGTGGAGCACTGGGCGCCCGCGGCGCAGGCGGCGACTCAGGGCGCGCGCGATGGCGGAGTGCGGCTGGATGCGCACGCGGCGCGCGTGCTCCCTTTGGTCGCGCGCCTTGCCGCGGCCCGGGCAGCTGAGGAGAAGCGCTCCTGCGGGAGGGCGGCAGATCACCCCTCCAGGCGTGCTGGGCGGCGGCCGCCCCGGCGCGGCCCGGCGCAGGCTTCCCCGACCAGCGCGAGACCGACGGCGATGCCGGTGCGGCAGCGGGTTGCAGCCTGGGAGGGTCGTGGGCCCGTCGCGCCGCCCGCGGCTCCGGTTGCGGCCAGGCCGGCGCGGCTGGCGCGGCCCGGCCCCAAGGCCTTGGACGAGGCGGGGCCTCCCCCGCGCGCGTGGTTCCAGTCGAGGCGGCGCCTCCTGGACCAGCAGCGCGGCCAGGGGAGGCGGCGGCGACTTCTCTCTCCTGGGACGCCCCTGGTGGAGGCTCCGGCTACGGAGCACGAGCGGGCGCGGCTGTTCTTTCGGAAGTGGAGTGGGTGGGCCCCCGCCACGTCGCCGGGGCCTGCGGTGCCACGTCGCCTGGGCCTGCGGTGCCGCCTGCGGTAGAGGAGGCAGCTGGGGCTGCTGGGAGCGCTTTAGGCCGGAGCGGCGGCATTGCCGGCGTGCTTTCGGGCGCTCGCCAGAGGCGTCGCGGGGCGCTTGGCCGGTCGGACCTCGCCCGCCTCCGGGACCCCCCGCCCCAGTCGAGGTTGCGCAGCCTCCGGCCGTGCAGGGGCGGAGCTCATAGGCCCATGGCCGCCGGCATCGCTAGGAGGCCAGCCTCGCGAGGCCGCCAGGGCAGCCCGCGCAGACAAGGTTCCAGGCGGCGCCCCGCGTAGCCGGGGCGGGCTGCCGCTGGGACGGGCACCTCGTGAGGCGGGGCGCCAGGTGACGGCCGCTGGCCGTGCCACGTGTCATTGCTGTTGCTGCTGCTTCTACTCCTTCCTCCGCTCCCCTCCCTTCTTCAGGAGGGAAAAAACCACCCAGACACAATGAATCGTCGATTCCCCAGAAAATATGGGAAAACAGGGGAAGAGGGGGGGAAGACAGAATTCCAGAAAATATTTGAAAATATGGGGAATCCTGTTACTTATTTGTGTGTATCTATTTGTGTGTCACATGGCCCCTTCACTTCTGCGCTCCCCACTGTTTCCTTCGCCGCGGGGCGACTGTTCTCGAGCAGGCAAGATAGTGCCACCCTGGAGCCTGCACCCCGAGGAAGTCTCTCGAGCGGGGGGGCCCGCCCGTGAATGAGTTGCAAGGAAGTGTCAAGCTTATGTCGGGCGTGTTCCCCTACAGGGGGATTTTCGACGAAAAATAGAAAATACTTGAAATATGCACCAACAAAAATCAAAAACAGTCAAAACATAGTCCCCGCACTATTTTTGGATTATGTTTTCATTATTTCTGGGGTATGTTTTTTTCGTCGAAAATCCCCCTGTAGGGGGACAGGCCCGACTTAATGTCAAGCGGCGGCCCCTTCCCTGTGGGGCCCGCAGGTCGCGTTGGCCATCCAAGGGGGCCATCGGAGTGCAATGTAACAGCGCAGGCTTGGTGACTCAATCGCCCGCTCGTTTGCGAATGAGCTGCGGGGAAGTCTCGAGCGGCAGGCCCCCTCCCTGTTCGGCCCGCAGATCACGTTGGCAATCCTGGGCGGCCATCGGACAAATATACATATATATATATATATATATAACAAGCGTGTCTGGCGATGCCCTGGAGCCTGAATCTCGAGGACGTCTCGAGCGGGAGATCCGTCTGTGAGTGACTTGCGAGGCAGTCTCTGGCGGGAACCACTTCATTATGGTGCCCGCAGCTCACGTTGGCAATCATAGGCGGCCATCGGACAATTATCTAAAACACACTTGTTTGGTGACACCCGGGAGTAACCTCGTCCCTGAGCAAAGTGAAAGGATATCTCGGGCGCTCACTTGTTTGTGGGCGAACTGCGTGGAAGTCTCGAGCGGGAGCCCCTCTCTGTGGCACGCCCGCCTCGCCCGCCTCGCGTTGGCAATCCGGGGCGGCCATCGGAATACACTCTAGAAAGCACAGGTTTGGTGACACCGGGGAGCCTGAACCCCGAGGGATTCTCGAGCGGGATCCTCGCTCCTAAGCGCACTGAAAGGATGTCTCGAGCGGGAGCATCGTCTGCGAGTGGCTTGCGAGGCAGTCTCGAGCGGGAGCCTCTCTATCGGACCCGCACGTCATGCTGGTATTCCGAGGCTGTCATCGGAATACCGTGTGAAAACACATGTTTCGTGATACCTGGGAGGCTGATTCAAGAGGGAGTCTCGAGCGGGAGCCTCGTTCTTGAGCAACTCGAGAGGATGTCCGTGGCGTTCAAATCGTTTGTGGGTGAATCGCGAGGAAGTCTCGAGCGGGAGCCCCTGCCTTATGGGGCCCGTGGATCACGCAGGTAACCCGAGGTGGCCATGGGGAAACAGTGTACTTCCTGGCGAAGGGCCCAGCCGCATGCAGTCGTGAGTGCCGTCGTTGTGAGCGTCGCCCTCGGTGAATCTCCGTATGGGATCATGTAGCGCGTTGGGTGTGTGCCGAGATGTGGCGAGGCCGGCATGCGGGCGCCGCCTTCGAGCATGGCGGGGCAAATCAGGTAAGGGAGGAAAACTGACACGGGCGAACGGGGAGTCTTTTTGGTTTGACCAGAGCTCCATGCGCCACCGTTCCGTGCTTATTTTTTCCCGAGCTTTCCGTCGCGCATTGCGCCGTTACCCGCCTGTCCCGCGGTGGCCCGAGTCCTGGGCGCTGCTTTGTGTCCATAACTATATGTCCCTCTTCTTTCTCACCTTCGCGCCCTGACGGCCACGGCTCCGGGCAGAGTGCAGCGCGGAGTTCCGCGACGCGCGCCGGTCGGCCCGACGGAGTCCCAGCGACGCGAGCGGGTCGTCCGCGGCACGGGGCAGGATAAAACAGGGCTAGGATCTGGATAAATCGCTCCAGAGCGTTCCGGAGCGCGCCCAGAGCGTTCCGGAACGCTCTGGAGCGGCCGCGGCGCCCAATACATCCTCCAAACCCGCCGATTCTCAGAGATTTCGGTGGGGTTCTCTATGGGGCCACGAAACGTGTGAGGGGTGTTCTGGTGGGCGGGGAGCGGCATGTGAACCCTGCCATTGAGGCTTTCGATAGAGTGATGGGTCCACGAAACGTGTGTGAGGTGTACCGAAGTGAACATGCGGTGCGCGGGAACCCGCATGCGAGCGCTGCCAGTGGGGTTTTCGGAGGAACTCCTCATGGGGCCACGAAGCGTGCGAGGTGCGTGCCGACATTGGGCATGCGGTGGGCCGGGAGCCGCATGCGAGCCCTGCCACCGAGACCTTCAGTGAAGCTCCTCGTCGTCGTCGCCGTCGCCGCCGTCGCCGCCGTCGTCGCCATCGCCGTCGCCGCCGCTGCCGCCGCCGTCGTCGTCGTCGTCGTCGTCGTCGTCGTCGTCGTCGTCGTCGTCGTCGTCGTCGTCGTCGCCACCGTCGCCACCGTCGCCGCCAGGGCCGCGAAGGTCTCCGGAAATCGGCATGCGGTGGGCTGGGGGCCGCATGTGAGCCCAGCCGCCGGGGCCTGTGGTGGAACTCCTCATGGGGCCACGCAGCGTGCGAGGGGTGCATGCTTTTGGCTGGGAGCAGCGCTGGGCACCACACAGCAGCGCCAAACAATGCAGAGCGAAGATGCAAAGCAATGTAACGCAAGGCGAAGCAATGCGAAGCAATGCTACTTTGAGACAATCAATTCATTTGCTTGCCGCGCTTCGCAACGCAGTTCAAAACAACGAAATCTACGCGACGCAAGTCAACGCGAAGCGATTCCGAGCAATCCCACGCAATGCAACGCAATACGAAGCAATGCCAAGCAACGCAACGCAATGCAAAACAACATCAAACAATGCAAGGCAGCGCAAAACAATGCAACGCAATGCGCCATGCGAATGAATGCTTTGGAACGGAGTGGCGGCGACGGGGCTACGACGATTCTGTTGCAAAGGGGGTGGGGCCGCGGCGGCGACGAGGCGGCGACGAGGCGGCGACGTGGCGGCGACGGCGACCGCAAGGTGGCGGACCAGACAACAGAGCCTGGACAACGGGCGGCGACGAGTCGGCGACGACGGGGCGACGGCCACCACATGGTGGCGGATTCGACAGTGGAGCCCAGTTCCTCAGAACGCAAGTAAGAGACCTGAAGTGGTGCAAGCGCTGTTTTGTGAACTATGCCGTCGTCGGCCGCGCAGGGTCGACACGCACTCTCAGAGATTCGTGTACATTTCGTGGCGGTCGCTTTCTCGCCATACCGTTCGGGGGACGATCTACAATTTGGTTGTTCTGTTATATGGTCGGGATGGATGCGCCCCTCCAACAGGAACACATCGTATGATTCATTTACGCCTCGCGGAAGGTGTAAGTAGAAATCGTAGTCCTGTCAGGAGGACGCGTTGGGGATGCTCGACGTCGCTTGCCTACCCCAGGCCTCGAAGAGGTGCGGCTGAGGCGAAGTGGCACGCCCACATGGCGCTGACGTTGGACAGGTCGTGCGCGAGTGCGCTCAGTCTGCGTCAGGCGACGGTGGGTAGAAGCACCCCGATTCGTGCCAGCAGTGCTAGGGGGCGAGCGTCCGTAGCCGCTTGGGCTCAAGCTATTTAGGCTCAGGGTCCCATGTCGATTGAAACGTTCTGCGGATTGGGTCCCAACAGTGATGCCAGCAGCCTTCGCCCGTGGTATCCTCAGACTCTGCGTGGCTGGATGTGCAATCATCGCTTTGTTTTTGGTGGTAGCTCATGGGTCACACCTATATTTCCACAGTCCAGTCATCGCTTTAGCATTGGGCGCCATTGTTGCCATTACTGCAGTGGTTACTGTGATCTTGTTGGGGTTTGGTGTTTCGGGTCTTCGGGAATTGGTGCGGCATCTGATCTTTGTCCCCCTTTCGAGCCGCAGTGTCCAGGATCCACTGTTGGAGGCCAACGATAAATTAGACAACCTGGAAAACTTGTACATGCGAGAGTCGACGGCAGGGGCTCGGTTACCACCCAGCCGTTATGCGCTGTGCCTATGTCCTTGCTATGCGATCTCAGGCTACGAGAATGGTGACCCGATCGTGGGAGCTTGCTCGGGAGATGCCAGGCGTGCTTGGGCACCTCTATGGGGATCCCTGTATGCACTTTGGAAATGGCAACCGAACCCAGGAAAGATCAAAGGAGACGGCCGGCAACGGACGATTGAACGTCCTTGCATCGCAGCCGTTCTTGTTGGCAGTCCTTGTGCGATCTCTTTCTGGGAATCTGGGGATCTCATCATGGGCCTTTGCAGTGGCGACGCCAAATCTGCAGTAGTTGCCCTTCTCTGCAGTTGGGGCACGGCTTTTTTCTGGTACGCCCCTTGCGCCTGGAGACCGAAGCCTGGCTTATTCTACCGATCGTCGAGCATGCACTCTGGTCCAGATGATCTGGAGCTGAGCCAGCTGGTCGGGAATCCAGTCGCAGCAAGACAAGGTGGATCTCTGGCAGCCGAGCCCGTCCAGAACTATCTGGTCTGCCGCAACTATCACGTAGGGTTCCAGCGGCAGGTGGAATTATATTCTGAAGATCTTGGGGCGAACGAGACACTCGAGGATTGTTTGGACACATTGGCTAAGAGTGATACGGCCATGGCAGCTTGGGAGCATTGCAGCAAGTTGCTTTATGCCCTCAAGGTTCCCAGAAGTATATCTCTGAAGGCCGATGTGCCATATCACCATGCTGAAGGTTTCACAACGTTCCAGAAAAGGTGGATTACCTTGAGAAACCGGCATCTTGACCTTACCCATGGACCCCGTGGTTTATACAAGGGTACCCTTGGAGAGGCCTGGTCGATCGAAGAGTGCATCATAGTCTTGCTAGACCGTCCCGACATCAACTACGCCGTTTGGCGGAAAGACAAAGACAACATGCTGCACATATTCGACACCTCGCAGAGGGTCGTCAGCAACTCTATGAGGTACTACGAGCTGCCGAAGGCCGTCAGCTTCCAGAGGTCCGGAGCCGCGACCCTGGCCGAGGAGCGGAGCCGCGTCCTCGACGAGGACGCTGCCCAGGACGCCAGGCGCCAGGCAGCGGATGCCGAGCACGAGAAGGCGGGCTAATCCGAGGCGAGGAGTTTGATTCATTGCAGTGGGTACGTATGTCATGGGTTCGAAGGCCGACAGGGGTTCCTGCCCATTTTGAACCGGGTTCGCTGTCTGCGTCGCTGCCGGCGTTGTCCATTTGAGACAGGAGCTCGCCTGCCCAACAGCGGCCGCTGTCGGCATTGGGTAACATGTGTTGTTGGTCATCGTGCCCATTCTTTCAGTACCCATTCTGGGCGTAACCACTGCCCGAGGGATCGATTTTCGAGGGCTTCGGCGGGCGGCGGAGACGGATCTATTCGGGCCCAGTGGGGGCAAGTATTCGCAGGCGGTCTTTCTCCCCCCTTCTCCGCCCAAATGGCCGCTCAGGGAAATGGGTAAACCTTGGGATACAGCCCAAGGGGACTATTCGGACGCACCCTTATCCAGGATGGACGTCCCCCCATCGTATATCCCAGGGTTGGGCCCCAAATTTCTGGTTCATTCGAAAACCTCACGTTGAAGCCTGGGATCGGGGTCGACACACCTCCTGTTGAGTATATCCATATCCACCGCGTGCCGAGGCCCCGAAGCTCGATCCCCCAGGCGGTGGCGATGGAAAAGTCCCCGCCTCGCAGTTTAGAGCTGGCCGAACGAGCGAGCAACCGCGCGGGCTGACGCGGCGGGCGCGCGGCGCACGCGCGCGCGCGCCGCACCCGGGGCTTCAGCGGCGGGCGGCGAGGGACTGCGCCCCAGGCTGTCCCGGCTGGCCTCCGCGGGCTCCCCGAGCAGTCCTACAGCCGAGCTCGACAGGGCCCTGGAGGTGCCCGTGGCGGTCTCAACACCTCAACGCTGGGGCGCGGAGCGCCCCAGGTGCGCTGCCGGAGGCGGCGCCCAGGCGTTGAGACCGCCCAGGACTGCTCGGGGGACCTGCTGAGGCCAGCCGGGACTGCCTGGGGGCGCTGTCTGCGCGCAACCTGCAGCAGCATTACCAAGGGGCATCATCTCCGAGGGCGCCTCGATCCCCTCGCTCGCCCCAACTGCCTTCTGCCTTCCTTTTCCTACTCCTCCTCCTCCTCCTCCTCCTGCTCCGCCTCCTCCTCCTCCTCCCCTTCCCCGCTCCTCACCTTCCATGCTCTTCTTCCTCAGGGGTAACTTTAGGGGTGTGATAGGCTCAGGGGGGAAACGTATCGACACCCGATCGCCCATCCGTCACCCGATCGGGGCCCAGGAACAAGCGGTTTCTCTATTGAAGGTCAATCGCCGATCTATCTGCGATGTATCCCCGATCCCAGCTCGATGTTCCCCCCTCCCCCGCCCCCCCCCCACTGAGCGCAGGCGAGGCGGTTTCCAACTGCAGGACGCCCGCTTGACGCAAGGCCTCCTCAGGCCTCCTCTTCCTCCTCCTCCTCCTCCTCCTCCTCCTCCTCCTCCTCCTCCTCCTCCTCCTCTTCATCCAGGAGTCAGTCATGTGCGGTGCGAGCGTCGAGCTAAAACAAACTCCTCTTTTCATGAGACGGGCGAAACCATATTCGTATCCACGGCCTTGCAGGCTGGGCCTCTGGGCCGTGCCCCCGCGGAGGCGGGGCGTTTTTGCTCGCGGATGCCTTGCGCGGAGCGGATCTGCCTATGTGCGGCCGCGCATCCGCAGGATTCCGCCCCGGAATCCAGAACGCGAGGGCGCGGAGGCGGACATGTTCGCCGCTCGTGACTGGTCTTGTCTTCCACCGAACGAGCCGAGCGAGCCAAGCGCTGCCCATCACGTGAGCGTTTTTTTCCGTGCCCAGACGCTCGTTACCCGCCCCCCCCCCTAGTAAAGCTAACGATCTCAGCGGGGGGGTTGGTCTGGACCCCCCTCACAGGCGATTGATGCGACGGTTGCGCGGACGCGCCCTTGTGGGTGCACGCCGCGGCCGCCGTTACCGTTACCCTCCCGCCCGAACCCCCCCTCCCCGGGTAAAGGCGGCGGCGGACTCGCAGGAACGAAAATCCGAACGATGTTTGGCTGATTTAGGTTTAGTGCGCAGCGTCGTTGCCCGCCCTTCATTGGCCGCCTTCTTTCGGCGTTGCTTGTGTCAGTGGCCGCCTTCTTTCGGCTTTCTTTTGCCAGAACCCGCGGGGCGCTCTTTTGCGCGCGATCGCCTGCCTGTGTCAGTGCGCGCGGACTTCTTTGTGTTCCCGTCTTGTTTATTGATCGCCAGCGCGTCGTGCTTTTGGGAACGTGCCGCTCGGGGGGGGCAGGCCCGTTTTGGGGGCAGGAGGGAGGGGCCGGGGAGGGGGCACAGCGGGGCGAACAGCAGGATGGAGGCGGAGGGAGGAGGGGGGCGGAGGAGCAGAGGGGAGTTCACAAGACACGCAAACGAGGGAGGGGCGACCAGCCACTCCATGATGTGGCAAGGATGCAGGACTTTCCAGACGGCAGCACGGCACCGTCCTTCCCCTTCCCCTCCACTCCTCCTCTCGCCCTCCCTGTGCTCTCCCGTTTTCCTTCGCTGGCCGCGCCCGGAGCTGGAGTTTCGGCCGCGCTCGTAGGGCGCTGCGTTTCATCATCGTCCACGTCGTGCGTCCCTCCCCCAGGCAGGTAGCGGTGCTGGTCGCCCTGGTCGGGCAGATGGACTGCAGCCACCGTGCCCTGTTGGATTATTATGCATCGTCGAGGCTGTCGTTTCGATCGCGCTCCGCGCCCCCATGGCCTTTTTCCCACTTCGGGGCACAGGGGCGACGAACAGTGAAACGACGATTCGTTGTTTCGTCGTCCGAGGGGGCGGCGTGGACCGACGGAAGCGGATCGACGAATTTTGGGCTCGTCGCCGCAGCTGGCCGCTGGACGCAGAACCTCGCGCCCCCCCTGGGCGTGGAACGAAGATCGCGGCGAGCTTTCCGTTCAGAGAAGCTGTTCCCGTGCAGGCGGTGGCATACCTTTTCCTTTGCTATTCCGCGGCGGTCTTCGTCGGATGCGCGCGGCGGCGCCGTCGCTGGCGTCTTTGGCTCGTGAGTGGCGCCGTGCCGCGGGCACAGGGGACAGGGAAGCGGCGGAGCAGAGTGGAAGCAGGCAGCTCCTCCTCCTCCTCCTGCTCCTCCTCCTCCTCCTCCTCCTCCTCCCTCCACCTCCTCCTCCCTCCTCCCTCCTCCTGCTCCTCCTCCTCCTCCTCCTCCTCCTCCTCCTCCTCCTCCTCCTCCTCATGCTCCTCCCGCTCCCCCCCAGCGCGGGGAGGGAGGAGGAGAAGCGAGAGGGTCGACTCGGGACCTGCCCGCGGGGGCTCCAGGCTGCGCCCAAGAGGACATCTGAAATCATCGATTGAAAATCCGCCAGGCGGAGTTGTGCCAGGGGCTCGCGGGGGCCATCCTTGGGGCCCTCTTTGGGGTCCTCTCGCGGCCCTGAGCGGGTCATCATGAGGCTCTTTGGGACCGTTTTGGGGGCCCGAGTGGCCCCCGAGAGGGCGCTGCAAGTTCTCGCTGCAGACACCGTCAGGCGGAGTTTGGCCAGGGGCTCAGTGGGAGCCCTCTTGGGGCCCCCTTGGGGCTCTCTTGGGGCATTCCTGGCGCCCTCTGGGGCCGTCCTGGGGGCTAATTACGAGTGACCCCCGAGAGGGCACGAGAAGATATCGCTTCCAACTCCGCCAGGCGGAGTTGGACCAGGAGCTCACTGAAGCCCGTCTTGGAGCCCTCTTGCGGCCATGCGAAGGCTCCCATGGAGCCCTCCAGGTCCGCGTTGAGGGCTCCGGGGCCGTTTTGGGTTTTTGGGGGGGGGGCTCCGAGCGCCTGCCTCCCCGAGAGCGGCATCCAGAGGGCCCTCTTGGATGCCACTGTCGGGGGGCCTCCCCTTTTGAACCGGCGGTTCACCTGGCCGCCTGCACGTTCGCGTCCTCCTTCCGAGGTGGGCGGCGGCCAGGTCGCGTCGCGGAAATTACGGTACAGGCCTAGGGGTTTTATTACATGCGAGTGTTAGCACGATTGTTTCAGTCACGTGCTCTACGCACTCCATTCTGCGATTGATGTCGATTTTTTTGTGTTGCGGGATGATGTCGTGAATGTCGTCGCTTGCTGCAGCCATCAGTTTGTTGCTCGTCACTTGTTATTGTTTTTTTCCTGTTCTATTTCTTTGCGGGGTCGCGAGCGCCGAAGGTAACGACCGTCACCGGGGCAAGAGGAGGAGGAGGGGGAGGGA